TGAAATTTTGCCATGCTTGTTTGCAGACTGGTGCTGGAGAACCGCTGCTATATAGCATAAGAAAATATTAATGTAGAACTGTTGCTGAGGATTATGCTGCATAGATATCTCAAGTGTTTTCTTGAACATTCTAAATCCACCTGTACTAAAAGGGATCATTACTCTTCATAATGGCCTACTGTGTTTCAGCACTGTGCGGTAATGCTGCCATCTGTCTTATATTTTTATTGTACAGTTTGGAGCATAGAGAAATAAATTCTCATGATGGAGAATACTTTATACTATGATTTAATTATAGTTTAGTCCAGATATAAGTATAGTTATACTGCCGTAGGTATAGTGTTAAAAGAATAATTTACTTAGTTTGCTGCCATAATCATAGTATTAACCAGGATAATTTACTCAGTTTGGGATATATTAAAATATTAACAGGTGTTTTTATTTTGACTTTCCACAATATCCATTTTTTCAGCTAGGGTTTTTGATTGTTAACCCAGATGCAAACAATCCTACGTAATAAAAGCGTAATAAGCAAATTGACCAAATGGCGGAACAACCAGTTGACGGGGCGGGGCCAACGAGCAGGTGGCACCAGGCCACCCAAGGCATGTGCCAGTGGGCAGAGGGAAGGGATGGTGATGGGGGGTGGGGCCAGCCGCTTGCGGCCGCAGCTGTCCCCTGATCACCACCTGGTTGCCTCCCACAGAGGGAGGCCAGACTGTGGTTTAGGCCCACAGGGAGCAGGCTCCCAGCCTGTGAGAGGGCTCAGGTCGGGCTGAGGGATTCCCGCCTCCCTGAGTGCACTAATTTTCATGCACTGGGCCTCTAGTACCAAATAATCTCCTGATAGAGTATAACTTCCAATAGAACAGTAAATTTTCACTACCATAGCATAAGAGCATATAAGAGTATCTGTATCTGGCACATATTAGGAGCTCATTAAATGTTTAGTTCTTTATGAGCTAGAGGAGAATCTTTATGTTAAAATTGTAAAATTATGTTTCCATAATTTTGCCTGCAGATTGACATTTTAGATATAATTGAGAACTCTATATAGATGAAACACTGTGAAGCCTTTAAAATGAGATAGGTCTATATATAATGAAATGGAAAGTAAGCAAGACATATTAATTTTTTCAAAACAGATGCAGAATAATATGGTATGTATAGTACTATATTCTTTATGCTTATATGACAATTTCTGGAAGGGTACACAAGAAACTGCCTGAGTGGTTACCTTTGAGGAGGGAATTGGAAAACCTTACCTTTTCTTTGTGTGGCTGGAAATGTTTACCCTGAATGTACATAGATAGCTTTAATAATGATCAACAAATGAACTTAAAAATTCCAGATATAGTAGACATATAGGTAGAGTTCTTACTACTTGTCTTTTTACAGAGGTTCATTTGGATTATCAGCAGACATTAGAGAAACCTAATAATATTGGTGTCTTAGAAAACAGTAGTGGTTTTAGTCTTTAAAGGTTTTCTGTGGGGGCGGGGAGAGAGGGTAGTGTGATGGTGTTTATATTATGTTATTTTATAAAGTAATTGATTAATAGAGTAAATATTAAAACTCAAAATGTGTTAATTTGAAATTAAAAATTAACATTGTATTTAAGGGCCAGTTACTTCCTAAAATAAACAGATATGGGAAAATGTTCTGTGGTAGTTAAAATTTTTTAGTAGTGTTATATGCTGGATTATGCTACATTTCATATTTTTCAATGCTGTAGTTTATATTATTTTTTCAGTACATTAAAACTTATGTGGTGAAACTGAATAATGGCAATGTTTTTATGTCCTTTTATAGTCATTTCTTTTTCATAACCTCCCCCTCTTTTCCTGTTAACTAAACTATAAGCACCTTTCTGTTAATTTATGAAAATTATTGTTGAGATAGCACATTATCACTGATCTGTATGGCACTTGCAGCATGTTAGAAGCAAAGGTCTAAGCAACATAAAACACATCAAAATTCATTAATGTGGTATTGATTATTTTTTGGATAATTAATTTTATTGCAGACCCTTGAAAGAGATAATGAGCTGCAAAGGGAGAAGTTAAAAGAAAATGAAGAAAAGTTCCTTAATCTTCAAAATGAGCATGAGAAAGCATTAAGAACTGGGGGAAAGCATGTAGGTTTATTAAATATTTAAATATTTTGAATAGTTGTAGACATTTAAAATAACTGTTAAATGCAAAAGAAATATCGCAAAAATAATGTAGGAATAGTCAGACACGTTTCCTTCTTGCACTTATATTTCTAAGAAGTGAATGCTTTTTAAAAAGCTAAATTTAATAAAATTTCCTGTATTGCTTTTATGCATGAAAAACCACAAGTGTGTGTGTGTGTGTGTGTGTGTGTGTGTGTGTGTAAATTGAATGACTTCCCATATGTAACAAAGAAAAATTAATTTACCTTTTCATAAAATCATTAATAATATTGTAGTAAATTATTAAAATAAGGAATTATATAAGGTATTATTGTTGGCTGATCTATTTAGCTTTCCTCAGCAGTTTTGTTGAGATGTATTAAAGCCATGTTTAGAACATGTAGATAATAGTTGAGTTCTGTAGTGTTAACATTTTATCATAAGACTTGATGTTATAAACATAGCTATTTTCTTAAACCACATGTTTGCTAATAAATGTTAATATAGTGAAATAGATAATAAGTGTAAATTAGTAATATAAAGGTTCACTTTAAAAATTGGTGAACCCTAAAATTGATTTTTCTATTTTAATATCTATTTCATTGCCTTTCAATTCTTTTACAAGAATAACACAATAGAAGTTACTATTTATGAGTTTACGAAATCTGTATTTTGGGAAAGATTATATTTTAGACCATTATGCCAATTATACTATGTTATTCTAATACTATACTTATCTAGTTTTACTAATATACTTTATATTTAAATACCAACTTGATAAAATTCACTAAAGATGACTTTAATATAAATTGTTATATACGTAACTCTTGATTTTTCAGTTTCTCACATACAGTGGGTTCCCCTTTCAATTTGATGCTGGTTTCTTTTGCTGTGTAGCTTTTTATTTTGATGTAGTCCCATTTGTTTATTTTTTTCCTTAGTTCCTTTGCCCTAGATGTATTCGTAAACATACTGCTATGAGAGATGTCTGAGATTTTGCTACCTATGGTTTCTTCCAGGAATTTTATGGTTTCATGACTTAAGTATTTTATCCATTTTGCATTTATTCTTGTGTATGGTATAAGTTGGTGGTCTAGTAGTTTCATTTTTTTTCATGTATCTGCCTAATTTTCCCAATACCATTTATTATTGAAGAGACAGTCTTGATTCCATTGTATGCTTTTGCCTCCTTTGTCAAATATTAATTGAGCATAATGGCTTGTGTTGATTTCTGGGGTCTCTGTTCTGTTCCATTGACCTATATGCCTGTTCTTGTGCCACTACCAAGCTGTTTTGATTACAGTGGCTTTGTAGTATAACTTGATATCTGGTATTGTGATCCTCCAGCTTTGTTGTTTCTCAATATTGCTGCAGCTATTTGGGGTCTTTTTTGGTTCCATATAAATTTTTGGAGTATTTGTTCTAGATATGTGAAATATGCTGTTGGTATTTTGATAGGGTTTGCATTGAATCTATAGATTGCCTTGGGTAGTATGGACATTTTAATGATGCTAATTCTACAAATTCATGAACATAGTATATTCTTCCACTTGTTATATCTTCCTCTCTTTTTTCAACATCCTGTAGTTTTCCAAGTACAAGTCTTTTACTTCATTGATTAAGTTTATTCCTAAGTATCTCAATTTTTTTGCCACAAATAAAAGTATCTCAATTTTTTTTGTTGCAAAGGGTAAATGGAATTGTTTGTTTTTGTTACTCTTTATGAGAGTTCATTATTGGTATATAAAAAAAAAAACCATTGTTTTTTTAGTGTTGATTTTGAATCCTGCTACATTGCCAAATTCATTTATTAAATAGTTTTTTTGGTGGAGTCTTTAGGGTTTTCTATGTATGATATCTAATGTCATCTGTGAATGAGAGTTTTATTTCCTCCTTTCCAATTTGAATGCCTTGTATTTCTTCTTCTTGTCTGCTGTCTGTGGGAACCCGGCCAGCCCTTTTGCACCACTGCTTATCAGGTTTCTCTCCAGCTAGTCTTCAGTTGATTATTCAGAATTTTTTGTATTTTAGTTGAAATCCTACTTTATCAGCACAATTTAAATGTTTTATACTTTTTTAAAAAAATTTATTTTGTTGAAAGTATTCAGATGTCCCCCATTTTCCCCTCTCCACTCATCCCCCCCCCCCCCCCC